TTTGCAAGATCTTGATCCTACTCATGTGCCTATTCCAAGAATTATGTTCTCAACTATCAATTTGCCTTCTTGGCCAGTTCAAAGGTGCACAGTTGATCTTTGTGTTGATTGAATTTTCCTTAGCTGCTGGATGGAGCATCACACTTTTGTTGTTGGTCAAGAGTTTCCAGATGTCAAGGCCTTCCGAAATGCAATAAAAGAAGCTGCAATTGCACAACATTTTGAGCTTCGAATAATAAAAAGTGACCTGATTCGTTACTTTGCAAAATGTGCTACAGAGGGTTGTCCTTGGCGCATTCGTGCAGTAAAACTTCCTAATGCTCCAACTTTTACCATAAGAAGTCTTGAAGGCACGCATACATGTGGGAAAAATGCACAAAATGGGCACCATCAGGCTTCTGTTGATTGGATCGTGAATTTTATTGAGGAAAGACTACGAGACGATATTAATTACAAACCAAAGGATATATTACAGGATATTCATAAACATTATGGAATCACTATACCTTATAAGCAAGCTTGGCGTGCAAAGGAGAGGGGGCTTGCAGCAATTTATGGTTCTTCCGAGGAAGGATATTGCTTGCTGCCTTCTTACTGTGAACACATTAAGAAGACTAACCCAGGAAGCATAGCTGAGGTGTTCACTACGGGTGCAGATAATCGGTTCCAAAGGCTCTTCGTTTCTTTCTATGGTTCTATATATGGATTCCTGCATGGTTGTTTGCCAATTGTCTGTCTTGGTGGAATCCATCTTAATAGTAAATACCTTGGTACCCTACTTTCAGCAACATCTTTTGATGCTGATGGTGGCATGTTTCCCCTTGCATTTGGTGTTGTCGACGTAGAAAATGATGATAGCTGGATGTGGTTCTTATCAGAATTGCATAGAGCTTTAGAGATTAATGCAGAGAATATGCCACAACTCACATTTCTATCAGATGTGCAGAAAGGTATCACGGATGCTGTAAGAAGGAAATTCCCAACTTCTTCTCATGCAATTTGCATGCGCCACTTGAGTGAAAGCATTGGCAAGGAATTCAAGAATTCAAGGCTTGTTAATCTTCTCTGGAAAGCGGCATATGCTACTACAACTATTGGTTTCAAAGAGAGAATGGCTGAAATTTATGAGGTTTCTTCTGAAGCCGCTAAGTGGATCCAACAATTTCCTCCTCCTCGTTGGGCATTGGCATATTTTGAAGGTACACGATATGGTCATCTATCCTCTAACATTGAGGAATTTAATAGATGGATTCTCGAAGCTCGGGAATTGCCCATAATTCAGGTGATTGAGCGGACTCATAGCAAACTGATTGATGAGTTTGAAGAGCGGCGTATGAAAAGCGCTTCCTGGTTTTCTGTGCTTGCCCCATCAGCGGAGAATCGGATGGTAGAAGCTATCAGTCGTGCATCCACGTATCAGGTCCTTAGATCAGATGAAGTTGAATTCGAGGTTCTATCAGCTGATCGATCAGATATTGTGAACATAGGGATGCAGTCTTGTTCTTGTCGCGACTGGCAGCTCTATGGAATACCATGTTCACATGCTGCTGCAGCTATC